GATGGGAGTGTCAGAGACAGTGCGATTGGCACAGGACAGAGCGGAGTTTAGGGCTGTTGTACATAGGGTCGCTATGAGTCGCAGGCCACTCGACGGCACATAACAACAACAACAACAACATATCCATTTTTCCCTTTGCAGCAGTCATGGGTGCTGGTCTCTAAAGAGGTAATAAACTTGCTTCACCTTTCCCTAGTGCACTTAGAAGACGATAAAGCTACTGTGAGTCAGAAGGTGAGTAGGATGAAGAGGGCAGAGGCTTCTGGGAAAGCAATGGGATTGGAAACTAAAAAATCCAAAAAGAACTAGATATATCTGATTCTTATCTTGTAGTCTCAGCATGCTAAAGCCTTGGTCTCCTGCTGTTTTGATGTGTTGAAGAAATCTAGAGCAAAAGTCCAGAGCCTCATAGCAGAAAGGGAGGAGGCAATGCACAAAGAAGAAATGGCCCTCAGAGGCAAGGATGCGGTAAGATGCCAGGCAAATTTTTTCTTTGCCGTTTTTCTTTTTTATTATAGTAAAATATGTTGTTATTAAGTGCCTTTGAGTTAGTTCCAGCACTTGATAACCTGTGTATAGCAGAATGATACAGCCTGGTGTCCCGTGTATCCTTACAATCAGGAGGCAGTGTTAAAGCCCACTTTCAGAGCCACTGTGTCAGTTCACCTTGTTGATGGTCTTGCTCATTTTCTCTGGCCCTCCACTTTACCAAATATATGTCCTTCTTCAGGGACTGATGCCTCTTGAAAATATTTCCAAAGTATATGAGACCAGATCTCTCCGCTCTTGATTGCAGGGAGCATTCTGACTGTATACTGTTTGGTTTTTTTGGCAGGCCATAGAATATTCATTAGTCTTTGTCGGTACCCTGTAGTCTCAGGGGTTCTACCAGTCTATCAAACCAGTAAGCCGGGCCATTTTTTTTTTAGTTTTATTCTGCATTTTTTGCCCACTCTGTGATCCTGTTTAGAATGGTCAGCAGTCATAACTGGGTGCCATTTAATTCTGCTGGTCTCAGGGTCTTGAAAGTTGAGATTTGTGTAGTTCATTATCCTTTGAACTTATTATTTCTATGCATCTTTACTTTTCTTCCCTCCTTTTTGTTCTAGACAGGGAGAGACCAATAGTTGTACTTTAGGTGGACTGCTCACAAGCTTTTTTTAGACCCTTGTTGCTGCTTACCACAGTAGGATATAGAAACATTGTTTTGTCAGTTGATCTTGATGTCCCCCAAGCCTAGGGTCCTGAAGCCCTAGGACAAGCAATAGTTATGGATTTATGTGCTGTTTTTCTCGCTTGCCAGCTGTGTAATCTCTTCCCTACACAGGCAGAGACAGTGCTGGAGGCTTTCTGTGCACATGCCAGCCAGCGAATCAGCCAGCTGGAACAGAACCTGGTAGCTATGCGGGAATTCAGAGCTCTGCTGACTGAAACCCAAAACCAACTGGTAATTTGAGGGCATTTGTTTTCCTGGCATTCATACTGATACACCAGGAAAGTGGTCACCTTCTCCTACTTTGCTTTATCCAATGGCAATCTTTTTATAGGCAATCCTTCTCCTGTAGGTAGGGCTTCATGCAGAGCAAGAAGAACTGGCTCAGCAGACAGATAGTCTTACTTCTACTTTGCAACAGGACTGGGTATCCATGCAACTAGATGTGAGTATTTGGGTCCATCACCACTCTTTCATAGTCAACCCTATAAAGAGTGTTGGCTTAAGTGCTCTCTGTTGACCCACTTGCCTCCTCTGGTAGTATATAACATGGACAGCTTTGCTGAGTCGGTCTCGACAAGTCACGGAGAAACTCGCAGCCAAGAGCCGAGAAGCTCTACAGGAACGTAATGCTGCAATTGAGGAAAAACACAAGGTACAAACCAGGAGCTGGGGTCACTTAGGCTTCATTTCCTCCTCCTAATCTGCAGAAGGTCTTTTAATGAATGGTATCATTAGCCTCTTATCCTAGACTTTTCTTCTTTCCAGCTCTCTTACTTAAGACCAGCCAAGTCTCTTACTTAAAAGATGGGTGCAAAAGGATCAGATACAAAGTGAAGGAAGCCGATTCTGACTACTTGCTTCATAAAGGGGAACTGTCCCCATCAGTAATATCCATAGTACTATACAAAAGGCTACATGGTCAAACATGCCACCCCACATGCTCCTGCACCTATATCGACCAATGGCCCAATGTTTGTTGCAAATTGACTCACAGACTTTACTCACATTTGCGGGGATTATTAGGGAAATATTTTGGGGAGTGGAGGAGGCTAAGACTATCACACAGTACAAGTACAGGTTTAGTCCAGCAGTCCCAAGCCAGATTAACAAGGCACAATTCCTCCATTAGTTCAGACAGCTTTTCAGTCAACAAGTGAAAGTCTAGGTTCAGTTCAGCAACTCAAATAAACCTCTGATTTCCTCAGTTAGTCCCGAAAACCTTATCTCAGAGCAGTTACAAATCAGCTTTTCTTTCAGTCATCCAGCAAGCTTAACCTTTAACTGTGACTCCATCTCTAGGATTCCTCCAAGTTACACCTTGCCGCTGTTACTTGCACAGCAGGGCCAGTTTCTTCACCGTCTCTTCAACACCATCTCTTAAAGTGTCTTCACAGTCCCTCACAGTGCAGAAAGTGCTCTCTTTTTTTATTGGTCCCACAGTTACTGATGATTTGCAAGACAATATGTCTGACGTTAAGATAGTTAGAGACCATGCACCATAAGGGCTAACATAATGGCTAGAGAAGCCAATTTTCAAAGATTCCAACAGCACAATGAGCTTGGGCTGAGTTGTTTTCTTTGTCTTTCAGAGCATTCTTAACTTCAACTTTTTTTTTCTATCTACATGTTCCTGTAGATAAGCCTTATATGCTTCAGTATTAATACTCAAGAGCAAAGTGTTTTGCTGTATTGTCCAGAAAGAGAAGCTACATGGAATCTTTGAGTGGAGAAACTGTGAATTAAAGCTGTCTTCTTCCTAGGTTTCCAGGGAGCTAGAACAAGTCTCTACTAATTTAGAGAACTGTAAAGGCCAACTAGAACAGTTGGAGTTAAAAAACAGCCATTTGACAACAGGTCAGTGTGAGTGTGTGTGTGTGTGTGTGAAGTACTCTGGAATACTTACTTTTGGAGGAGAGCTGTGGGAAGATTCTGGCTTGGCAGCACACGGTATCACAGGCATACTTTTGGCCTAGATCTCCAGGCTCAGCTGCAGATTCTGGCCTCCATGGAAAGCCAGCTAAAAGAACTACAGGATCAACATGCCCATTGTGCACAGGACCTGGCCATGAAAGATGACATGCTCTGCCGGCTCACCCAGAGCAGTGAGGAGCATGCTGCACAGTGAGTCCCCATTAAGTTATGGTGGTGTAGACACTTAGGATATAGACCCAAATAGGATCTACAAAGAAGTCTTATCTGGCAGATGGCAAAGGGAAGAGATGGCACTAAAAACAATGCAGGCAGAGCTGCAGCAGCAACAGGCTGTTCTGAGCAATGAGGTCCAGGACCTGAAGGAGACCTTGGAGGTAAGTTTATGGGTAGAGGCAGAGGAACTGGTAAACTTGGAATTTTTGCCCAATGTTATTAAAGTGGAATTTGAGACTAGACAAAACTAGCCTCTGTCTCTGAGGCTCTAAAATTCACCACTTGAACCCAGCTTTTACCCCTTTGCCTGTCCTTTCTTCCTCTCTCCTGTCTAGTTTGCAGATCATGAGAATCAGGTTGCCCACCTGGAGCTGGGCCAGGTTGAGTGCCAATTGAAAGCTACGCTGGAAGTGCTCCGGGAGCGCAGTCTACAGTGTGAGGACCTCAGAGACACTGTGGAGAACCTGAAGTAAGATCTCTACCTTTCAGTGCTTCCCCTTTAGTGCTTATCTTTCTTTGTTGTCCCTTTTTTTGGTGTGTGTGTGTTTTAGGGCTTATCTTTTCCAGGAATTTTTCTAAGTGCCAACGTCTCCAAGAAAGGAATTGTGACAGAGCCCAAAAGCTTCCTGTTTCTCTCTTTGAATGCTATTCTGTGTAGGGATTTGGAAGAGATATTCAAAGAAGATAGCTGGGTCATTGGCTGTCTTCCTTGCTCCTTCCTTGTTTCAGGGCTAAACTGGCTAGCACTGTAGCAGAGAACCAAGAGCAAGACTTGGAGAGGAAACGCCAGTATTCCCATGAGCTTGGGGTGCTGACTGAGCAACTACAGAGCCTGACCCTCTTCCTACAGGAAAATGTAAAAGAAAAGGTAGATTTCTGGAATCCTTCCTCTTCTTGTCCAGCCATTTCTTCACTGTATCTTCAAAAAACCCCTTTTTTGTTTTATTCTTTTAATGACCTCCTTTGTCTACAAACATCCTTCAGCCATAATTAAAATCTTTCTTCATCTCCAGCCAGTCTGTGCATAATACACATTGTTAATTTTCATTCAATCCAGACTCATTGATTTTCTCTTCAAGCTGGAAGTAGCTTTATCTTTTCTCTGAAAATCCTCCCCAGTCACCTTCTTCTGTGAGAATGATTAAGCCTTGCCGAGGCTTCGGGTGTGCTCATAAAGCTAGGAAGTCTCTGGAGCATTTGCTTTGGAGAAGAAATATGGTGCCTCGGTGACCTCCTCTATTGCCATATTCTTTATGCACTTACTCTCTTTTTTTTTTTTTTTTATTTTGTGTGCGTGTACCGTCAAATCAGATCTGACTGGTACAGGAGGATATTGCGCCTCCTTCTCCAGCAGAGCGTCTGGTGGATTCGAACTGTGTTCCTCTGGGATTGCTGTGCAGCTTCTTGCCACTAGGCCACCAGAGCCCCCCCCCTTTTTGTACTTGAATTAATGTTCCTTGGCATTAATTTTCCCCAAGATCAACTCAATTATGCTTAACGAAAGTGGAAGTATAGCTTGCAGCTTTGCTACTTTAACAACAGTAAATTGTTATATTTTAGAATAGAGTTAATAAGCTTTTTTAATCATTAAAGATTGGGTGGAGGGAAGGGGTGAAAGAATTGGAAAGATCTGGTGGGGACCTAAAAAAGATGGAATAGAGGGCATAGATAAGTGGTGATTAACTTTATAAAACAATAGTGTATGGGAATGATCATATGAAACAATATGCATGAAGGAATATGTGAAGGTCAGCTCTACTCATTATCATTGAGTCAGAACTGACTCTTAGCTGACCCTCCGGCAGATTTTCAGAGCTTGTAAATTGCATGAAAGGAGGTGGTCCATTTTCTCCCTCAAAACAGCTAGTAGATTTGAACTTTGAGTTGGCAGGGCAGTTCCTTACTACTAAGCTTCTTAAAGGTACAACCAAGAGTCTGAAATAGAGAATGCTTATGATCTGACTTTTTTATTCATTTGTATGTGAAGCACAGGAAATGCCAATGAATCCACAGTGTAATGGGGAAGACCGATAGCTATCATGTTGAATTGTGATCATGTTCGAGGTATGAATAGATCACTGTGGAGCATCAAGAAAGGAGGGTTAGGATGTTTTCTCAAAGCAGCTGACTCGGGCAGAGTCTTGAGGTTAAATAGATTCTTGCAGGGTAGAAGTAGCCATACAGAGAGACTCACTAACAAATGGTGTATTTAGGTCATAGAACCTCAGTTCTATGAGTTCTTTGGGATTAAAGGGTCCTTGCCTTGTAAAGAATAACTTAAAGCAGGAATGTGGATAAACAAACGTTATTTTTACTTGTAGCAAGTGCTTTGAATAAAATAACCATCTCAAGAAAGGGAAATTTTGAAGGAGTATTTTTAGGTCAGCACCCACAGTAGCAGCAGTCAAGAAATCAAAAGATGTATGACATTGGACAAATCTCCTGTCAAGGATCTCTTTAAAGTGCTGAAGAGGAAGGATGTCAAATTAAAGGCTAAGGTGCACCTACTCCATGCCACAGTATTTTCGTTTGTTTCACATGCATCAGAAAGTTGCATGAATAAGGAAAACTTGAAGAATCGATGCCTTTGAATTGTGTTGGTGAGGAGTATTGACCATGGACTGCCAAAAGAACAAATACAGCGTGGAGCACGTGCAACAGTATGCTCCTCAGAGGCAAGGATGGTGAAACTTCATGCCACGTACTGAGCATGTTGTTAAGTCCTTGGATTTCTAGCAAATCTGAATGTCTAGTGGAAATGTTGAAGCCATAAAATAGCTGATTGGGAAGTCTGAAAGGTCAGAGAACAACCTAGGTTTTCTGGTGGTTCAGTGGTTAAGTACTTGCCTACTAATAAAAAGATTGGTAATTCAAACCCACCAGCTCCTGCACAGAAAGAAAAAGATGCGTCAGGCTGTTTCTGTAAAGACCAGTTTGGAAACCTGGAGAAGCGCGCTGTTACATAGTGTTGCTATGAGTTAGAATCGACTCAATGGCAATTAGTTTGTTTTTTTGTTTTTGTTGGGACACTCTGCTAAATTTTTCACAGGCAGTTGGATTTTTTTAAATCTGCAGCTTGGGAAAGACTCCAGTTGAGAAAGAGATTGAGGAGTCATTCATGTGGAAGTGAAGTGGATGTTTTTGTGGAGCACTAGGGCTGAGGCCCTCCAGGGAATGGAGGAGAGTAAAGAGACAGTCAGAGACTGAAACCAGGGGGACCTAACTATTAAGGAAGGATCTGTGGATAGGAAGAGGAAATAGCCAGAGAGGTATGAGGCAAACCTATGAGGAAGAATGGGTCAAGCCTTGAAGTTAAGGAAAGCAAATTTCTAAAAGTATGTGGTCATCAGTATCAAAAAGTCAGATAAAATAGCTCATATTTGTCCCTTATATTTGAAAGTAAGGATGCTATTGGTGACCCAAATGATAAGAATTTTGTTGGCGTGGCAGGGAAGATTGTAGTGAACTGAGAGATAAATAGATGGTGAGAATTACAGGCATTAAGTATAGGCTCCGCTCCCTCTGCCCTTTTTAATTAAAGAGGAGAAAAGACCTGTTGCTAAGAGGAGATTTAAAGTTGAAGTAGAGTTTTTTAAATTGTTTTAGTGAGAGATGTGAGAATATAAACATGTTCAGAGAAAGGAGCTAATGGAGAAGTTGAAGATAGAGAGGAGAGGTAACAGAACAACATTCTGGAGGAGATGGCCAGTGAGTTCAGGCAAATCATTAACCCTGAAGAATAACTGGTAATTGTTTTTCTTTGCCTCAGGCTGAACCAGAACCACCTCCAGTGAACACAGCCTCTGCTTTTGCCTGGGAACACCCTCTGCCCAATAACAGCGCCTTCTTGGGAAGTGTCTTAACAGCAACGGCAGATGAAGGTTAAAGGCCCTGGAATTTGGGGGGAGGGCAGAATTGTGGCCCTGCTGCTGATATCTTCAGCCCTTGAGAAGGTTGTCTAACAAACTCGCCTGTCTCACCCTGGTTTGTGGCAGGCCCTTGACTGGCTCACCATGGTTGATTTTTCTTTTAGAGCCAAAGTCAGCTCCTACGCACTTGATTGGAAGTGAAAAAAGTGCTTTCACCCGAGTAACATCCATGGCTTTTCTTCAGCCTACAGGTTAGGATGGGCTCCAGGGATCCCACCTCATTTCTAGAAAATTTGGAGATGGTGAATAAAAAAGCAATGAGATGTGCTTTGCTTTGCTCTAAAAACCTCAATTCTACTTGGGCTCATTTTATTTCTGCCTTTTGGGATCTGTAATGTTCCAGGGAGGAATGTTGGTGGTGCACTGCTCAGAGCACTTTGTTGTTAACCAAAAGGCCATTGGTTCAATCTGGTTAGCTTCCCTGTAGGAGCAAACTGTGGCATTCTGACTCCATAAAGATGACAGCTTTGAAAACCCTGTGGAGAAGGTCTACTCTGTCAGTAGGGGTTGCTAAGAGTCAGAATGTTCTGGCCATTTAACTCCTTTGGGGAGGGGACTCAGATAAGAGTTATGAGAACGATAACTATACTTAGTTGCAGAGCTGAGTGGCTGTACCTTTATCTAGCAATTTGTTTTTTAGAGAACCCAGACATGGAGAAGAGTCTGGCAGAAATGCAGACTATGACTCTTGAGCTTCAGAACCTATGTTCCCTACTGCAAGAGTCCAAAGAAGAAGCTGTCAGGACTCTGCAGCAAAAAATGTGAGTGGGATATAGTCTTGGTGAAAGAGGGTAGGTCAAACAAGACAGTCACACATGTCAACGCCTGCCTGACCCTAAGAAGACAGCAGTAACGCTGAACTCTTTCTTTCCCTAGTTGTAATCTGCAAGATAGGCTGCAGGCCCAGGAAGAACAGCATCAGGAGGCCCAAAAGGCAAAGGAAGCAGACATAGAAAAGCTGAACCAGGCCTTGTGCTTGCGCTACAAGGTGAAGGAGGGGCCTGGAAACGGGGCGATGCAGAACTGGGGCAGCTCTCCTGGCCCATTGGGAGCCATTTTCTCTCCAGGAATCTGGGTGGTGGGGATTTTCCAACCACTGCCCTAGTTTTGCCCTTCATAGGATCAGACATTTCACATATTTAAGAATCAGCTATGGGCTGACCCATCTCCCCAGGCAGAACAGGGAGAGGGAGCAAAAACTCTAGAACTCGCTCAGCACTGAAATTTGCCTTTCTTGACTTGGCCTGAGAGGAAGAATTGGGGTGTGACCTTTGTACCACGGCTAGTTATTAGTTTGTTACTATGTCCTGGTAAAAACTGCAAAAACAGCTGCTTTCTCTCAGTGCCTTTTTACTTCCCTTTTTCACAGAATGAAAAGGAGCTCCAGGAAGTAATACAGCAGCAGAATGAGAAGATCCTAGAGCAGATAGATAAGAGTGGTGAACTCATAGTATGTTTGTCTTGATGCCTGCCCCTGTGCCTTCTGTGTCAATGGTAGCCAGTACCCTGAAGATAAAAATTTGATTCCCTGGTTCAACAGTGAGGACTTTTGGCTATCTCTTTATTCTCATCTCAGAGGCTTCGAGAGGAGGTCGCCCAGCTTACTCGCTCCCTTTGGCGTGCAGAGACAGAGACAAAGGTGCTCCAGGAGACCCTAGCAGCCCAGCAGGACCCTGATTGTCAGCCCATGGCCACTAACTGGATCCAGGAGAAAGTGTGGCTTACCCAGGAGGTGACTTGTACCTGAATGAAGTTGGAAATATCTCAAGGGTCAAAGTGCTGTGTAGAATTAACATAGGAACGAGGCAGCTCTTGGGGACCTTAGGCTATACCCTACTAATCAGGACATATTTATAGGTGAATAAGCTGAGGGTGATGTTCCTGGAAATGAAAGAAGAGAAGGCAAAACTCAGGGACAAGTTCCAGAGCCATGTAAGAATTTACTTGCCAGCACCATTTCCCCCAATACTACTAGCAAGTACCTCACCAAGCTATGCTGTTCTTTTGCTTTCTAGAGAAATATCCTGGAGGAAAACCTTCGGCTCTCTGACAAGGAATTAAAGAAATTAGATAACATTGTACAGCATATTTATGAGGTAAAAAGGAAGAGATTGGTTAGAAGCTGGTACAAGGCCTGGCTCGTGGGGTTTCTAATGAATGGTAGCTCTGGGTCCAGCCTGTGCTGTGAACTTAGCAGGACTTGCTGTTGAAGGCTTTTCTATGGCCTCTACATTATTCTACTGTCTACCTTTCCCTCTCTAATGTGGGTGCTTTCCAGGAGGATGTGAGTGGTGGTACCTTGGGCCTGTGACCCTGTGACTTTTTCTTTCTTCCCAGACTCTGCAGTCCATTCCAGAGGTGGTAAGGGGCTGCAAGGAGTTACAGGAATTGCTGGAATTTCTGAGCTGAGTAATTGAAAGCTGGAACCTGCTTCACTCCCTTTGACCCCCTTAACCCAACTCCATGACCAACTGGCACAGAGCCACCTATGTTTAAAGTTATTTAAATAAAGTATAAATGTATTTCTTTAAGCTGATGAAATCTTATCTTTGGGGGTGGTAGGGGAATGAGGTCTGGTGAGAAGCAGCTTGGCCCTCTTGCCTGGGCACCCTCCTTGCACCTCCTATGGCATCAAGAGCCCTGGCTGCCTGCCCCTCCGCTTCTCTTTGCTTCCCCTACTGCTGTGGGTACTGGACTGCTTGTTCCCTGGCTCACAGCCCCGGGGAAAACAGAAAAGGCTTCATTCATTCTTCTACCTCCCCCAACCCCCAGGGTAAGTGTTGGTAAATTAGAGGATGGGGGCCAAAAACTGAGTTCATTACTCCCTAGTCTGACCTCTGTCCTAGCTGTTCTACCTGTTGTGACTTCACTCCTTCACAGGATGGAGTTTTCCCCCAACAGCCTGGCACATAAGAAAAAGTGACAGTGGCAGAAATGAGGGCAAGCCCATTTCCGGCCTTTGGGGCCTGGTGGCTGGGCTCCATGAGGGTGGCAGCGGGTTTATCCATAGCAGCAGTGGGGGTCCTGGCAGGGGAGTCACTCCACCTCTTCGCCCCGCCCCGTGGGCGTGGTTCCGCCCAACGCTCCAGTCCGGACAGGGGGTGTGGCTGGGGCGGGGAGGTGCCGGCCCCGCCTCCAGGGGAGTCACGTAGCTCTGCGGCATCCGCAGCCACATTTACGGGAGCTTGGACCGGAGCTCCCAGAGTAGCTGAGCAGAACCCGAGCTGTTCTTGCGGCTGCTGCCGAGAGCCTCCTGCGAACAGGTGAGGCCCCGGGAGAGGGGAGGGCCGAGAGCCTCATAGCATCTCCGCTTCCTCAGTCCGGTTCTTCTTTTTGCCTGGCTCCCTGGGTCCCTTGGTGTCTACTCGCTCTTACATCCTTGTCTCCTACCTGCCAACTAAAAAACTATATATAGCGCTCTGCCCTCCCTGCTTCTTCCACCCTCCTCTTCCTCTTCAAGTTTCCTGGCTGGATCTCAATTTTCTTAATTCCAAATCCTCTGCTTCCTAAATTTTTCCTTGAGGGTCCACCTCTCCCACAAAAATGGTTTTAGTCTCTGCTAGATTAGGGTCATTCTCCAGTTCTCTTGTCTTTCCGTCCCCCTTGGTTAGTCGACCTCACCATCACCTCTCCAGAGTATCCTCTACCCCTTCGGCATTTCTCCCTCCATTTCTCAGACTCGCAGTTAATTTCTTTTGAGCTTTTGCTCCTGTTTGCTCAATTCTGGAAAACAGAAATTCTTCCTCTATTTCATCCTTTCGTCTACACAGTGTAAGTGTTGCTGGGCACTAGGGATAGCCTTGTGGTATCTGACCTACTGGCCTTCTCCCCCGTTCCCCCACCTATTACAGCCCATTAGGGCCAACCTGTGGCACTGGGGTAGTAAGACGTAATTGGTGTAGGCAGTTTGGGGTATGGAAAGAAGGTTCTTTGGAAGTCTATGGCTGTCATTTGTCCCCCACCCCCTTTTCACAGTCTTTTCCGTCAGAAGCTGAAGGATAATTGAAGGGTGATGATACATATTTTTGCCTCTTTCTGAAGACTTAGAAGTAAGTGTAATTTTCTTAGGGTACCTGCTGAGGATGAAAAATGAGAAAGTCTAGGGTTTTTCCCCTTCTACTTCTTGATAAAGACTGAATCCCATGGACGAAGGCTCAGCATTCTTATTTGGGCAATAGTTTCATAAGACCTGTAGCTTCAGGACTATTTACCTCCCCACCCCCAACCCTGCATCTTTTCCTGGGGCTGGGAAGGGTGCCCACCAGAGACAAAAGGAACTAGGGCGCTAAGCTTGCTAGTTGTCACAGGGATTGGTGCCATTTTGATGCCCGGGACTTATGCCAAGGACTGCTGCCATGTTCCCAGCCGTTTGGTGGGGGGAGAGGCCATTTGGCCTGACTGGCCAGGAGAGAAAGCAGAGGAAGTAGTGAGTGGTCTTGTCTTCATTCCAGCGAGCCATCTCCGTGGGAGAGAGTTGTCACCATGCCTCACTCATACCCAGCGCTTTCTCCTGAGCAGAAGAAGGAGTTATCTGATATTGCACTCCGGATTGTGGCTCCAGGCAAAGGCATTCTGGCTGCTGATGAGTCTGTGGGTAGGTGGAAGCCTGTGGCTAGTCAGGTTAGAAATATTCAGGAAGCCCTGGGGAAGGCTTTGCTGCCCTTCTTTGTTTCTCTTTAGGTAGCATGGCCAAGAGGCTAAGCCAGATTGGCGTCGAGAACACAGAGGAGAATCGCCGGCAGTACCGTCAGGTCCTGTTCAGTGCCGATGACCGAGTGAAGAAGTGCATTGGAGGTGTCATTTTCTTCCATGAGACTCTCTACCAGAAAGATGATAATGGTGTACCCTTTGTGCGCACAATCCAGGATAAAGGCATTGTCGTGGGCATCAAGGTACAGCCCCTGGGCCTGTGGAGGTGTTGGGTGTAGAAAAAGGTGTATGTGGGACAGGAAGAATGGAGAATTCTACCTGCATTCAGCTCTCTACACATGTATCTCCTACAGGTTGACAAGGGTGTCGTGCCTCTAGCTGGGACTGATGGAGAAACCACCACTCAAGGTACCGGGGGGTTAGGCTTCAGGGCCACAGGAGTACTGGAAAGTTAATATTGATGAAAGAGGGGCAGGGTAGTGAGATTGGCACTGTGCTTACAGGGCTGGATGGGCTCTCAGAACGCTGTGCCCAGTACAAGAAGGATGGTGCCGACTTCGCCAAGTGGCGCTGTGTGTTGAAAATTAGTGAGCGCACTCCCTCAGCACTTGCCATTCTGGAGAATGCCAATGTGCTGGCTCGCTATGCCAGCATCTGCCAGCAGGTGTGTGTGTGTGTGTGTGTGTGTGTGTGTGTGTGTGTGTGTTGGAAGGGTTTGGGGGTCAGATGGGTGTCCTGTGCCTGGTGGGGAGAGGGTTATAGGACTACCCTCTCCTACATATTGCACCTCCCAAATGACTCTGCTTTTACCTGCAGAATGGTATTGTGCCTATTGTGGAACCTGAAATCCTGCCTGATGGAGACCATGACCTCAAGCGTTGCCAGTATGTTACGGAGAAGGTGAGTCTGTACTCAGCCACAGAAATACCACAGGAAGAGCTTTGCAGGAGAGCTTGTTCCCCAGAGCCTTTAGCCCAGATCTAGGTATGCTTGTCCAAGGATTCTTTCCACTTGAACCCAGAAAAAGCCATGGGGCTGAGCTTTATGAACCCTCACAATCAATGCCCCCTCCCCCTAGTCTCCAGACAAAGCATGAAAGAACAGTAAATGGACCACTAAGGGACCTACAACCTTGGAAATGTCCTCTGATCCTCAGGTCCTGGCTGCTGTGTACAAAGCCCTGAGTGACCATCATGTTTACCTGGAGGGGACCCTGCTGAAGCCCAACATGGTGACCCCTGGCCATGCCTGTCCCATCAAGTATAGCCCGGATGAAATTGCCATGGCAACTGTCACTGCCTTACGTCGCACTGTGCCCCCAGCTGTCCCAGGTACTACCCTGTGTCCCCAAGGTCCCTCCTCAGGCTCTTGAGGCCTTCAGCAGTTTCTTGCACCGGAGAAATAGGACTGACCAATTTGTCTTCTCTTCTCTACCCCAGGTGTGACTTTCCTGTCTGGAGGTCAGAGTGAAGAAGAGGCATCACTCAATCTTAATGCCATCAATCGTTGCCCACTTCCCCGGCCCTGGGCCCTCACCTTCTCCTATGGGCGTGCTCTGCAGGCCTCTGCACTCAATGCTTGGCGAGGGCAGCAGGACAATGCTGGGGCTGCCACTGAGGAATTCGTCAAGCGGGCTGAGGTTGGGAGCCTGAGGTGGTGTTGGGGGAATGGTGTGTATTGATAAGGAGGCAGCATGCAGAGATTACAGCCTGGGAAGGGTTGGGTATCTATGATCTGGTCCAGCTGAATATAATCGATCTCTCTTACAGACTGTTCCCTCTCTCTCCCATCTTACAGGTGAATGGGCTTGCATCCCAGGGCAAGTATGAAGGCAGTGGAGAAGATGGAGGAGCGGCAGCACAGTCCCTCTATATTGCCAATCATGCTTACTAAGCACCCACTCCACACCACAGCCTTTAACCTGGCCAACTGCCCCAGTTTTGCCTGTAGTTCTAGACTAGGCCAATAGCCATGCAGAACAGAGAGCCTCCATTCAGTGCTAAATTTTCTTCCTTTCCTTCCCTTCTTGTTGCTGTATGTGGGACCATAGAATGGGATGGTAGGGAGCCCTTGGTAACTAAAGACAGGAGGACTTTGTAGAAGTCAGACAGGATGCCTGGGCCTACTCTATGTCCTTGTAACCCCCCACAATTTGCTTATGATGGGTAGCTTCTCCTCGGGCTCTCCTTGCCCGTCCTCGCTTCTGGGATTAGAGGGTGGGGCTGCAGCCCTGATTCTTACCCTGAGTACATACCACATAGCAAATAAAGGGTAGCAAACATGCTACTTTGTCTGTTTGTCTTCCATATCAAATTGTCGTCTCCCAGTTTCTGACCTTTGCTGATTCTATCTCTGGGCTCTCAGACTAATGATACTAGCTAGAAAAGATGAGTTCTGAGTTTGACTGGGCTTCAAGGTTATGGGGGGAGGGCACATCTATTGATTATTACCAGTTCAAGTTTTTTTGTTTGTTTGATTTATTTATTTATTACCAGTTCAAGTTTTTGTCAGTTGATACTCAGAGCTGGAGGGGGCACAGTGTGTAAGGCTACAAGTATTTTGGGAATTGCCACACAAGGGCATGAGGCTGCAGTGCAGAAGGAGGGAGTGAAGCAAAATGGAAGTCAGAGGATGTGCAAGGTCCCAAAGGAGACTGCAGGACAATCTGGGAAAAGAGGTGGTGCATCTCAGCAACATTGAGCTCTGCAGGGCTGACATTTCTGCTGAGGGAAACCACATCTGGAACTCCTGGGCTTCTGCTCAGTAATGGAAACCCTGAGGCTCAGCGTTCCTAGGCTGAGTCAGGGTCCTTCGAAGGTTGCCAACTGCCCATTCTTGTTTGGAGAAGAAGGAGACGGGAGGGATCTGGGCAAGGATAGAGATGGTAGGTTTCAAGCTAAACTTTGAGCACTTGGGTGGAGTGTGAGGTATGCTGAGTACCTGAATTAATGAAAAGGTGTGTTGTGTGTGAACTAAGGAGGCCTTGCCCCACCCACTTAATGGTTGCCCTGTGGAAATGAAGGCCTGACCTTACAACAACCACTTAACAGAGAGCATTTCTTATGTGCTCCTGCCTGATCCTGTTCTATTCACTGTACATACATTAATTCATTGAATGCAACAATCCTCCTGTTACAGTAATGGAAGGAAATAGTAATAGGAAATAGTCACAGTGGTTAATTACCGTAAGGGAACTCAGGAAATAAGGTGAATCTAGGATTTTGAGCCCAAGGAGTCAGGATCCAAAGCCCGTGCTTAAGAATTTTCCAGATTTAAGTATCCAAATTTTCACACAGAAATTAATTAAAAGTGAACTATTGCACTGAGCAAGCCAATTCAGATAAAAGTTACTAGCCATTCTGTGTTTGAGGCTTCGGAGCAGCTCTATGAAGGAAACAAAAATGGAATAATTGAGCTTTGAGGCTCTTTACACAAATATCCTCACCATTTTACAGATGAGAAAACTGAGGTTCAAAAAATGTGAAATAAATTGCACAAATTGCGGAGCTAGTACTTAACGAAGGCAGAATTTACATTTTTAATGCCTGGGTTTGGATATGGTTCCTCAGGAAAGGGGAAATGAATCAGGTGTGCCCAGCAACGTAGAGGAACTAGTAAGGTCTTTTCACCTGTCCCTCCTCGCCCTCACATCCTTTCATTCAAACTCCCTCCCAGGCTCCATGCGGGCCCGCCCACTCCCGTCGTTCTCTCATGCCTGCCAGTGAGATGTGTCGTAGTCATGACCACGCCCCCTCCCTCGGGGCTTCCTATTGGAGGAAGATCACAGCTCCGCCCCCGCGGCCGCTAGAGCAGCCGGAAGCAAGCATGGCTGCTAGTGCGGCTGGAGCTGCAGCTACAGACATAGGTGCGGTGGGAGTCGGGTGGTGACCTCTATCTGGTGGATCCCTAGGGAGGAGTGTGGGGGTGGAGATGTTGGTCCCACACACACACATGGGTGCAGGGGTCGTCTCAAAGGGTGGTCCCTTCATACTCGAGTCCCCTAGGCAGAGAGCCTTGCGAACGCGGCCCTTTAGATTCGGGGTACCCATTGGCTGGCCTCTGAGCTGGACCCCAGCGCCTGAGTAGATCCTTCCATGTCCCCAGAGGTGGTCCGGGGCAAACGGGCCGCCCTCTTCTTTGCTGCTGTGGCCATCGTGCTGGGGCTGCCACTCTGGTGGAAGACCACGGAGACCTACCGGGCCCCGTTGCCCTACTCTCAGATCAGTAGGCTGAATGCCCTGCAGGTGAGACTCCTGGGGAGAACTCGGGGACATCCCAGCGGCAAGATGGACACTCAGCTGATGGCCCTGGCGCTCCTTCTCGCAGCTCCGGCTCATGGTGCCCGTCACTGTCGTGTTTACGGGGGGCTCAGTGCCCCTGGATGACCTGGAGAAGCTGCCCTTCAACGTCGTTCATGAGAGAGAGATCCCGCTAAAATGTGAGTTCCTGGAGCCCCGATTGCCCTTTCCAGTTTGTGCTCAGCCCAGACATGGATCGGGAAGAAGGAACCTGGGGGCCCATAAAAGTAGTTGAAAACTTAAGAGTTAAAGGCTTTCACTTGAGGAAGAATATTTTTGGTGAGAAGAAAGCGAAATTCACTGACAAAAATTCGATTTTATTCATTAAATAGTTCTGTTGTCTTTTCGGAAGCAGTTGATGCTTCTTAGGAAGTAGAAGAAGTGGGGCATAGTGGAAAGAACATAGGTTTTTAAAATGAAGTTGGATTTGACAGGCCCTACTTAATATTAAAACCTTTTACTGAGTATTATTATAACTGAGTATTTTACAGTTGAATATTTGTTAGAAAACTGTTGATTTTTTGTTAACATGTCAGGTTGGGTTTTTTTTTTTCTTTAAAAGGAGTGAGTTGTGTACAGGGGGGGTTAAATGCTTTATGGACAGTAAAAAAACTGCACTACAACCACCTTATTCATCATCATCATCCTCTTCATCTCCCTCTTCCTCCTCCTCTTTATCTTCCTCCTTTCCCTTCTTCCTGCTTTTCTCAGCCTTGACAACTCCCTTTTTGGCGGCATCAGGCTTGTGTTTAGCCCTGTATGCAACAATATCCTTCTCATACTTCTCCTTCAGCTTAGCAGCCTTCTTCTCACAGGGCTGCTTGTCATCGGCAGCAGTTTTATTCCACATCTCTACCAACTTCTTCGCAACATCACCAAATGAAAGGCCAGGGTGCTCGCCTTTGATTTTGGGGCGATTCTCAGAAAAAAACAAGAAAAAAGCCAAAGGGGCCTCTTGGGCACATTGGGATTCTTTTTTGTTTTGTCCTTAGGAGGGCTATAGGTTTTCATCTCTCTTTCATAACGGGTCTTGTCTGCCTTTGCCATGTCTTCAAAGTTACCTTTTCCTTTAGCAGACATGGTTTTCCACCTCTCTGAACACTTAGAAAATTCTGAGAAGTTGACAGAAGCATCTGGGTATTTCTTGTGCCCCTCTTGGCAGGTTTGCACGAAAAATGCATACGATGACATTTTACTTCTTGGCTTCTTAGGATCTCCTTTGCCCATGGTTAGGTATTTCTCGTCCGTGAGGCACAGAGGCACCCAGTGCTGTCTGGCTCTGCCTAGCCCGGTGCTGTCTCTATGGAGCTCAATGTACTGGAATGGCTGTGAGAGCAGGAGCCAGACATACTTTTCCAGGTCTCAGGATTGTGAAAGTTGATGATTTAGAGATCCCAGACTAATTGTTTTCATCTGTCTTTTTTTTCTTTTTAAGATAAAAAACAAAGATAGAATTCTTAAGAAAGGTATGTCCCAAAGGCGAGATGGAGTTTTCCTCCCCAGAAAGGATGTAATGGAGGAGGCCTCCATCTGTCTTTGATTTCTTTTAATCTTTGTTGCAGACAGGGAGAGATCAGTGTAGACCCCTGCGCTGGTGGACTGTGTTGTGCCAATCGACCTTGGTGTCCTTTGACACTGTGGTCATAAGGCCCAGTTCCCTCAGGGTGTTTGGTTAGTTAAAGTTTATGTAATACTGCTCCCTATTGCCTCTGCTGGAATCTATTTGCAGCCCATCCAGATACTTACTTGTCCTAACATTTGTCAGATCGATCTATGCATGATCAGAGTTGTGGACTTGTCACTTGCCTGTGTCTGTTATTCTTGTCTGTCTGCTTCACTGTGCATCCACCTATATATCAATTCTTGTTATTATTGGTAATGGAGGGCTGTGCACATAATGGACTACTGTCTGCACTGTTCTCCAGCTCTCTGCCTTCCTTTTCATTAGTAATATTATGCTAAGCATTCTTATTTAATATTGTTGTTGTTGTGTACCATAGAATCAGAACTGACCCATAGCTGACCCTCTGGAGGGTTTTCAGAGGGAGTTAATCACACGGGAGGAGATTGCCCATCTTTCTCCTGTGGAGTGACTGGTGGTCTGCAGCTTCTTGTCACTAAAGTCTTTTCTCTTTATTCAGTTTACCATGTGTCCATTATCTAATTACTAATTTTCTTTCCCTTTCTCTGCTCATCCCTGCAAGCTATGATACTTGTGTAGTCTTTTGTCTAATCATCGTACTGAGTTGTTACTAGTTCTAATAGCTTTTCAGATGCTTCTTTGATTTTCTAGAAGAATAACTGTATAGTCTTAAAATTGACCGTTTTAATCCACCAGATGCTCTGCTGAAGAAGGGAGGGGCAATCTCCTCCTGTACCAGTCAGATCTGATTTGATGGTACACGTAAAATTAATACAATAAAAATAAAAATTTAAAAAAATGACCGTTTTAGGGAGCTCTGGTGGCATAGTGGCAAGAAGCTGTGCTGCAGTCCTGAAGGCATGCAGTTCGAATCCACCAGATGCTCTGCTGGAGAAGGAGGGGCAGTCTCCGCCTGTGCCAGTTGAATCTGATTCTATCCTCAACAACAACAAACAAAAAATGACCATTTTTGTCTTTTTCTTTCTATCAATGATTTGTGAATGAATCTTTTTATTGTTACATTGGATAGAATCTTCAGAAAGAACAATGTTGAAGAATAGAAGGTAATAATAGTAGGGGAGCTCTAGTGTCTAGTCCTCGGAGTTGTGCTGCTAACCCAAAGGCTGCACCTCTCTGGCATTTCAAATCCACCATGGGCTTGGAAGGGAAAGTTTTCCTATGCGATTTACAGCTTCAGAAACCCAGTGGAGGATCAGTCAGTTATGATGAGTCAGTTAAGGCTTCACATCAGTGAGTTTCTAGTTTCTAGGAGAGTGCTTTTTTAAAACTAACTTTAGTGGAACTATAGTTATCATTTAGTCATTAAGTATGCAGACTTTTGCTTTAATCAGAAATGCTTGTTGAACTTACTAAATATTTTGGGGCATGAATAAGGCAGCACTTGAGGTCATTAATGTAGTGATTATAGTCAGTTCCCAACTGTAGGATATTATAGTATGTACGTAGGCAGAGAGAGGGGAGTGGGGGCACAGGGAAGAAATGGGGTGCCATGTATCTGACATCACGCATACAGAAATCATTAAACTTGGCCGGGTCAGAGAAAAAGAGGGAGATCCTCCGCTAGATGGACTGACACAGTGGCTTTACTGCTGGGCTCAAGTGCATCAGAGATGATGAGAACGGCACAGGATAGGACAGGGTTCAGACCTGTTTTCACAGGGTGTCTGTGAGTCATCCTTAACTCAATGGCGCCTAGGAATAATAATGAATGCTTCTTCCTTCCGCCACCTCTGTACCCTTAGACAAAATGAAAATCAAATGCCGCTTCCAGAAGGCTTACCGTAGGGCTCTGCAGCATGAGGAGGAGGCCCTGTCAGTGAACAGTGTGCAAGGTATGGGAAAGGGCAGTTGCACCATTTTAACATGAATCTCTTTCCTTCTTTCTGATCTTTTGAGGCTATAGTTTTCATAACTTGGTTTAGCTCCACAACTTGGGTCACTGAAGACTAGAGAGGTCCACTTCTTATCAGGCCTTGCCAGAATGTCAGCTGCATGTGAGTGGGAGGTCAAAGATTAACTTAGACACTCTAGGGTATTCCAGGGGTGAGGGGTGGCCTTTTCCTTTCTGCTCTGGGGAAGGGATTCCTGGTGGCCTAGTGGTAAAGAGCTGTGCTGCTCTCCTGAAGGCATGCAGTTTAAATCCACCAGCTGCTCCACAGGAGAAAGGTGGGCAGTCTCCTCATACATGATTTATAGCATCTGAAAACTTGCTGGAGGGTTGGCTATGAATTGGTTCTGACTTTCTGGTTCATAACACCACCACCAACAACTGCTCTTGTCCCCAGAGGCAGAAGCTATGTTAGCAGAGCCCCAGGAGCAGCAGGAAGGATCTCTGACTGTGTATGTCATCTCTGAAAACTCTTCTCTTCTTCCAAAGGTAAGGTGAGCAGAGAGACTCCGTGTTGCAACATTGCTGCTCATTTCTTCCAGTCACTACAGAAAACCCCTCCATATATATGAATGCAATCAAAGATTTATTCATTGACTATGGGTCTTTCTAAATCTACAACCAAACTTATATATGTGCTTAAAGTGCCAATGACAAGTTTTAAGTTGGGTTTAATAATAAGCAGTTGTTATTGTTATGTGCCGTTGAGTAGCTTGTGACTCATAGCGGCCCTTTGTACAACAGCCCTAAACTCTGCTCTGTCCTGTGCCAATCACACTGTCTCTGACACTCCCATCCCGATTACCCCAGTCACTGAATCAATCCATCTCATAGAGGGCCTTCACCTCCTGCGCTGTCCCTCCACCCTCCCAAGAATGATGTCCTTCTCCAAGGACCGGTCCCTCCTTACAGCATGCCCAAAGTATGTTAGATGGAGCCTCAGAATCCTTGCCTCTCAGGAGCCACCCGGTTTAACCCTCTCCAGGATGAATCTGTTTGTTTTCCTAGCAGTCCATGGTACTCTCAATACTCTTCTAATAATCAGTAGGATTAAAAAAAATCTGGTTTGAGTGAGTCAGTACCTTGACTGTCTCATTTTATTAATGGAAAGCGAAGTGGCAGCTCTGGTGGCCGATAGTGGCAAGAAGCTGCTCTGCAATCCCAGAGGTATGTGGTTCAAATCCACCAGATGCTCTGCTGGAGAAGGAGGGCCAGTCTCCTCCTGTACCTGTCAGATCTGGTTTGATAGTACACACAAAAAATAATAAAAGAAAAATAAAAATTTGTAATAAATATTTAATCTTTATACGAGATCATTTGAGTAAATATCTGTGTACTTACTCCTCAGTTTGGAAACTTCAACATAGCAATTTTTTACCCTCTTGTTTACACTCCCCTCCTTTTCAGCCCAAAATTGGCAGCATCAGTATGGATGGTGAAGAGATTGAGATAGGTAACAGTTTTAGTTTGCTTGGTTCCACAGTCAACACTCTTGGGAGCACCAGCCAGGAAATCAAGAGAAGAATTACATTGGGAAAGTCAGCTGTGAGGGACCTCTCAAGAGTACTGAAGAGCAATGACTTTAGGCTGGAGACTAAGGTGCGCCTGATCCAGGCTATAGTCTTTGTGATTATGTGCTATGCATCAGAGAGTTGGACAGTGAATAAGGATGATAGAAGGAGAATTGATGCCTTTGAGCTGTGGTGCTGGAGACGACTGTTGAATATACTATGGACTGCTAGGAGAACAAACAGGTTTGTCCTAGAAAGGGTGAAGCCAGAATGCTCCTTGGAGTCAAGGATTCTGAAGCTTCGTCTGATGTACTTTGGGCAGGTTGCAAGGAGGGACTGGTCCTTGGAGAGGGATATCATGTTTGGGAGAGTGGAGGGACAGCGCAGGAGAGGAAGACCCTTGATGAGATGGATCGATTCTGTGAGTGGAGTGGTGGGAATGAATGTGTCTGAGACGGTGAGGTTGGCACAGGATAGAACGGCGTTTAGGGCTCTTGTACATAGGGTCGCTATAACAACAACATAGCATACCTAATTTTACATGGTTGCAAGCTCTATATAAATAGTATGATACTTGTCTTTCTGTGAGGAGTCACCTGTGACACAGTAGCATAGTGTATTATGTGCTGGGCTGCTAACTTAAATGTCAGCAGTTTGAATCTGCTAGACTCTCTGTAGGAGAAAGGTGAGCTGTTGTCTCCTGTAAAGATTTCCAGTCTGGGAAAACTGATGAAAGGTTGCTGTGAATTGGAATTGATTTGACAACAGTGCATTTGTTCTTCTGTAACTTACTTTGTCCACATTTTCCTTGAAAGAATCATCTAGGATAATGGGTCAGTGTTTTCCTTTTTACTTTCATGTAAAGTTGCATTGTATAAGCATGTCATAATATATCCATTTTTGTTGCTGATGGACATTTGAGTTGCTTCCAGTTTTTTACTATTAGAAACAGTATTGTTATAAATGTCCTTGTAATTACCTCTTTGCCATGTGTCATTTTTATTAGATTCTATTTGCTTATCTTGCATTTCTTGCTCAGTTTGCTACTCATTAATTTCCAGTTTTCTATTATTTTATCAGCTCCTGAAGACTTGGATACTATTTGGACCTCTATGGGAAAAAAGATGGGCACTGTCCTGAAACTAATGATACTCATATGTACCCATAGCTCAGAAATGCTAAGTTAGTAGTCTGCTATCCACCTTAAAAGGAGCTCTGGAGGTGAACTCTGTAGCATGTTACACTGTTAACCAAAAGGTTCTTCAAATCCTCTAGCAGCTCCTTAGGAGAAAGATGAGTAATCTCCTCCAATTACAGTTTGTAGCCTCTGAATCAATTGGCAGCATCGGGATGGATGGTGAAGAGATTGAGATTGTACACAGCTTTAGTTTGCTTGGCTCCATAGTCAACAGTCTTGGCACCAGCATCCAGGAAATTAAAAGGCGCATTGCCATGGGAAAGTCTGCTGTTAGGGACCTCTCCAAAGTACTGAAGAACAATGGTGTCTCTCTGGAGACTAAGGTGCGTCTGATACAGGCCATGGTCTTTGCAATCACTTGTTATGCATCAGAGAGTTGGACAATGACCAAGGAGGATAGAAGGAGAATTGACATCTTTGAGCTGTGGTGCTGGAGAAGAGTATTGAGAATACCATGGACTGCTAGGAAAACAAACAGATTTGTCCTGGAAAGGGTTAAACCAGCTGGCTCCTTAGAGGCAAGGATTCTGAGGCTCCGTCTAACATACTTTGGACATGTTGTGAGGAGGGGCAGGTCCCTGGAGAGGGACATCATGCTTGGGAGGGTAGAGGGACAATGCCGGAGGGGAAGGCCCTCTATGAGGTGGATTGATTCAGTGACTGGGATAATTGGGATGGGAGTGTCAGAGACAGTGTGACGGGCACAGGACAGCGCGGAGTTTAGGGCTGTTGTACATAGGGTCGCTATGAGTTGCAAGCGACTCGACGGCACATAACAACAACAACAAGCCTCTGAAACCTGATGGACGGTTGCTATGAGTTTGCATTTTTTTGTGTGTGTTATTTGAAATAGAAATGTAGGCCTTTTGGTCAATGACAGAAGACCAGCTTGTTAAAAACAAGAGACAGAATGCTCTTCTCTCTTCCCTGTGCCATGAACCGTGGGCATTCTGTTCCTTGCCCACTCCTCACAGGACAAGATGAGCTACATTGGCCCCAAGAGGACAGCAGTTGTACGAGGGCTATTACACCAGGAGGCCTTTAACATCATTGGCCGCCGCATAATCCAAGTAGCCCAGGCCATGTCTTTGACTGAGGATGTGCTTGCTGCTGCCCTGGCTGACCACCTTCCCGAGGACAAGTGGAGTTCTGACAAGAGGAGGCCTCTTAAGTCCAGCTTGGGTAGGATGATTGGGCACACGGGGAGGGAGGAGTACGAATGATACAGTGACAGTGGGACAGAAGGGGAACCCACATACAAATTCCTTACTTGTTTATTTCCTGGTCTCAGCTTTTTTTTAAAGTATTAATATCCTCCTTTGGATCCATGATGGCAACCAGCCCCATTCCAGAGAGAATCAAGTTCCCCTCAGCCTGGGGCACAGTCAGCCTTGGGCCCTGGGAGCCTTCTGACTTGCTTGGCTTGGCTCCTGTTCTGTAGGCTACGAAATCACTTTCAGTTTACTCAACCCTGATCCCAAGTCCCATGACGTGCACTGGGACATCGAGGGGGCCGTCCAGCGTTACGTGCAGCCGTTCCTGCATGCCCTCAGTGCTGCTGGCAACTTCTCTGTGGACTCTCAGGTGAGGCTGCGGTGAGAACACACTGAGGAGCTTTTCTCCTGGCTATACCATTTTTTTTTCAAAGTCCAGATTTATTTAGCATTTATGAGTACAGCTGTACTTCCACCCCTTAGAGCTCGCTGATTTGTGAGGAATTTCCCATGTCTGTGAGAATCCTGAGTCAGGTCTGTGTCTGTGTGTGTGACTGTGTGTCTTGACAGCAGACTCTAGTGTCTACTTTGCCTCCTGATGCTCAACCATGGGGGCTCTGTCAGTGCTTGTTAACACACCAGCGTCCTTAGGATTCTAGAACCATCTTTACCAATTGACACTCTATCACATGCCATCAGCCATCCTTCAGGAATGTTAATTTTTTAAAAAAGCTCCTGAAAGATGTTAATGAGGTTACAGTAAAGTTAAGGTAAGGGATGTTGCTGTTTATATCACACAATGCCCTTTTAATGAAAACGTGTGGGAGAAATTTTTATCAGGTCTTGGTTGTGGGAGTAATTACTTCTGAATAGCTGGTTTGATTTTGTTTTTTTTTCTGCAGATAGTGTTAACGGTGTTCTGATTCTCTCTTTGTTTAGGCTGGTAGGAAACGCGATGAAATGTGTGATTTCTAGAGCAAGTATCTAGTGTAGAGTAACTTTACCCTTAGCTAAGTGTTTTCTGTACAGTTTTAATTTTTCCCCCTTATACTTATTTTGTACTAATTTAATCTTTTTAAGCTATCTCAGATCTTTATATATAAAATTTTGTAGTTTTGTATGGTTGTGTCGAAAGTGACCCATAGCTAACCCTCCAGTGGGTTTTCAGAGGCTGGTGGGTTTGAACCATGTGGCTTTGAGATTGCAGCACAGCTTCTTACCACTAGGCCATCAGTGTGTTCATATAAATATTTATTTTATATATA